TGGATAAAGAAGGCTGCAATTCTTCACAAATCCTCCTATTTACATAAATATCTATATTTACATATATATAAATTTACATATATATATATATACACGTAAAAGGCGTTTTCCAGGCGGCGCGGTGCTGTGAGTTTAATGCAATCGATTCAGGCGGTACTAGAGGGGAGCGGGCGTCGGGAGGGCGCGGGTCCAGATGTGCGTCTCGGTTCCTCCTCTGCCCAGCCCAGTCCATCCCAGCAAGGTGCGCACCTTGCCGGCGGGACCCCGGGCGTGGTGGAGTGGTGTGAGGGGTGGGCAGAGCAGAAAGCAAACGAGAAACTTCCCTAGAAGTCTTGCTTTCCGTTTTCATCCTCTTCTTCTTCTTCTGTGCTATTATTTAACTGAACAATTGGAATTTTTTTTTTTTTAACCTTGTGGCAAACCCCGCTTGGTCTCTGGTAATTCTTTGTGAAATCTCCTCTTCCAGACCTTCCTTCTGCAGGAAGTTAATCTTCGCTCACACAGTCTTCCTGGCTCAGGATTTCTTCCCTTCTGCTCGTTTTTATTTAGCTCTAGCTGTTCCCTAGTTTTTCTCCAAGATGCCAATCTTCGCAGCATTGCAGTTTCTGTCCGTGTACTGCCAGGAACAAACGATTTGATGCAGCTTATGGCTGATCAGTAAAAAATACCCGTTCACAGGATGTCTGCAGACATTTTTGTGAACACTTATTGAAGAGAAAGTGATGTATCATTCCTCTGTGGTAGCGCAACCATCCCAGAGACGCGAACAGGAGGCTTGAGGTACTGAGACTGAGTTTTGGCTGGAGAGCAGGACGCACACAGGTACAAAGACAGCTTCAGTCTTTATGGTAGCAGGTTTTAAACAGCATATGTAGGAAAATAGTGCACAGGAAAAAAAAAATCAATAAAGAAGCTTGCATGTGTGGAAAAGACGCAAACCCCCTTTAGATGTTCAAGTTTCATTTTAAGAGTGGCTTATTTCAGTTAAAAAAAAAATCTGTT